AAAAGGGTATATCGCAGACGCGGTGAGCGTTTCGCCGACGCATGCGTGGTTGAACGCGATAGATTCGGTGGGGCTTCTGTAATGGTTTGGGGAGGCATCTCCCATGGAGTAAAATCCCCCTTAGTTGTCCTGGATCAAAACCTCAATGCCGTTCGATACAGAGACCAGATCCTCCAACCACATGTCCTTCCACTTCTCAGACGTCATAACCTAATTTTCCAGCAAGACAATGCTCGACCGCATGTTGCCAGAGTCTGTCGTGATTTTCTCACGGCAAACAACGTTTAGCCTCTGAAATGGCCCCCATATAGCCCCGACATGTCTCCCATTGAGCAGCTGTGGGATGAGCTGGACAGGCGTATTAGGAAACGTCAAACTCCCCCGACTAACCGCGCCCAGTTGATCGCAGCATTAACACAAGAATGGAACAACATTCCCTGAAGGCGAATAAATGTTCTCTTGAATTCAATACATAGGAGAATCCGTGCAAGGATTCGTGCGAAAGGTGCCCACACCAGGTACTGAAGTGTCATTTTGTTTTTCGCGGGTATCCCACTTTGAATAACTACTGATGACACGAGTGACGTCACACAGACTTTTCTTCTACAGCATTGTAAAGAATAGACTTGTCCTTTCATATCGATATAAAATTTTGTACAAATTTCCCAAAATAGCATAGGCTATTGATTGCATAATTTAATTGTGCGTTTCTTTTTTTGTTCAGTATAGTTTGTTAGATCAGGACAATACAGACCGATATTTCTAAGCTTTTTTCAAATTATTTTAATCCGTTACACGTTCACAGGTTTGTATGCTACTTATAACTGAATCGAACTATTATCATTCGTGCACATAAGGGCGTATTTGCTGTGGATAGCCTCTGTGTAATACATTTAATAAATTCAGTTGTACGCCTTTACTGTATTTACATTACTGTGTTTTACTTCCTGCACAGCCCACACAAATTCCGCGAACTGAAAGGGTATATTTGATCAAATGTCGCGTTATCCATAATGGAGCTTTATTTAAATACCGGGTACTTGTAATTTATGTACATATAGTGACTTTGAATATATTATCATATTGGTCACTTACGCACGGCTAGTAATCACAGAATCCTGAGTCCCACTGGTATATTTGTAGCTCTAGAAAAATCTCCACCAAGATGTACAGAACAGTGAAATATATTCGTAGTTAATTGGAATATTTAGAGTAGTAATTAATCAAGTATATTATTAGGATATTCTGCTGAGAGACATTGTCAATGACGTATATAAAAAGGAAGACTGAATGCAAAGCCCGGAAATGTGATTGTGCCAGTCTGGTGTCTGTGCATATTGGTAAAGTTATTTCTTTTTCAAATACATTTGACACATCAGCTCTGTAAATATCTAGCTAAATATATGTATCATCGATTTAAAATATAGCACATTATGTTGTATGTTGGTATTGCTCCTGTAGATCTTTTTTATCGTTACATGTTAAATGTTCATCACACCTACAGTTCTCCTGTCTATACAGTGATACTATAAAAAACGTTTAATGATAATATAACATGCAGTGAAACCCAGAGAGATGAGCGTATTTGGACATGTTAAGACAGTTCAGTAAATATGTAAAATAACAGATGTTTATCAATCTCAACACAAATACAATAGATTTATGTCATTTTCATGTTTAAAGGGCACATGGTAAATGGACTCCGTCGGGGATCAATCAAGGTGATACTATTTTTCTTACATACCTTGTTTTTGAGAGGTAAAACAGCGTCATTTAGTAATGCAAGATACGTGAACATGCCCGTCAAAGTCGTGACGAGCTTTGGGAAGCTGGTGATTGTTTGTTGTTTCCCCTGCTTTTTCGTTTCCTTTGTCACCAAGGAAAACGCCCCGGTTCCTTTCATGAATTAATCGTCTTTGATGATGTTGAGGTCATCCTGGTTTTCATTTTAACGGGCTGGGAGAAGGCAGATGTCTTAATGTTGGAGAAAACCGGAGTACCCGGTCAGGTTACCAAATACCTTTCGGTGTCCAATCGGAAAATCGCACACCGGACGTCTTGGTAAAAACCGAGAACGTTATCCACTTTGCCACCCGACAATAAAGCGCCCGATAAAAAGGCACTTCTTTTACCTATGCAAATGTATAGGCAAGGGTTACTGATCAGGTCAATTTCTCATCGTGTAGCAAAGTAAAATGTATTCATAATCTGCAGGCCAGCTACTTTATATAGGTGATCCTATTGAAAAGTTAAAGCAAACCAACACAAATAAAAAGTAATGATTAAAAGCCTTGTAATATCGAGAACACCATTCATCAATTTTAGTTCAAGGGTCGTTACTAATAAGTTGTGATTTAACAGTTAAAACTTATAATTCTCAAAACGCTATTGTGTAACAGCCAAG